ATTGAATCATTCAATATTAAGTGTAAATTTAATTTTGAATCCAATGTTTTGGATCATGAAGACTGTTTTCAGCCTTTTGATCTCTCTGCAGGACATCGCTCGGGACTGTCTGAGGATACAGGTGTTACAGGAGTTTGCTGATTACCTGTGTGGAGTGGAGCCCCCCATGTTAGAATATGACGTAGTGAAGAAGGAATACTACTCAGTGGCGCCCTCTACTGACTACAGCGAGGCTCCCCATGGGGACCTACCCTCAGATTCAGATGAGGTGAGACACCTGAAAATTTCAGTCATGAAGGGTTGTCTGTTTGACTGTTTACTATAATTTTCTGACACCTTCATGTGTCATTCATCTATTTTTCTCATAGCTTAAGTCAAAAGAGATATCAATTTTTGCTTGTTGATACAGGATGTATTGTATAATAACTTAACATTTAAAGCCTACTCTCATCAATATTCCATTGGATTGAGGTTCCTTAATACTTATATATATATATTATAGAAGGAACAGCAGCTCAAAGACAAGGAAAATATACAGGTACACTAGTACATGATTTATCTTAGACCAGAGAACAGCAGCTCAAATACAAGGAAAACAATTTACCCCACCTCTGTCGATTTTTCCATGAAATCCTGGCTTACGATTGGTTGAAGTCTGTCACGTGAAGGCGGTGGATTACTTATACCCGGTCAGTTGTAAATCTATACCCGGTCGATGTATTACGTCACAAACACAAACGTTACGTCATAATAGGCACATGATAAGCGTGATGAAGCTTTAGCAGAGAAAACCATTTATAAAATACAGATAAAACGTGTTTCATAGGTGGGGTAAATTCGTTACATAGTCTTTTAGTGGCAGGGTATGGGATGATACCTGGTTAGTAAATTTCATACCTGACTCAGCTCCGCCTCGCCAGGTATGAAATTTACTAACCAGGTATCATCCCATACCCTGTCACTAAAAGACTATGTAACTAATAATACAGGTAGACTAGCACATGAATTATATCAGGCTAGCAGCATAACGTAAGGTAATAAAGCTTAGTCCCTCTAGGTGTTAGTAGCTATAGAACTGGAATGTATTTTTTGAAGTATAGCACAAATCTCTTTTCTAAACAACATATGTGGTGAGTAACAGTTGGTTTCTTTCACTGTTTTATGAATTTCAATGCATAACGAATTATTTTATTTTACAGAAACTGATAGAGAAGGACAGACACCGGTGTATAGAGTTGGAGATCCACCCCATTTTCTTGATTCCGGACACCAACTGTTTTATTGAACACTTTTCAAGCCTAAAACAGCTCATTCAGCTGAAGAAGTTTACTGTGGTAGTGCCTTTAATAGGTAAACTTAACATTATCACAGATACTTGACAGTAATGGATGTAGAATTGATATCATGTTTAACTGTTTCTAGTGTATGATGTATTCAAAATATACTTGTTGTAGTTATTAATGAGTTGGACGGATTAGCCAAAGGTAGCAAGGAGGGACAATACGACTCAGCGGATCAGGCCGTGAAGGTCGCCGAGAGGTCAAAACAAATGGTGGAATTCCTAGAGGAGGAGTTTGACAAAAAGAACTCACACCTGAAAGCCCTGACCTCTAAAGGGAACGTACTGGAGACCATCTCATTCCGAAGTGAGGAGGGGGATAGTAGCGGGGTAAGCTCTAACGAGGGTCTATTTATATACATCAGTGTGGTATGCACTACTGACAGTCTATTTATGTAATCAGTGGGGTAAGCACTACCAAGGGTCTATTAATGTACATCAGCAGGGTATGCACCAAGGACTGTCTATTTATGTACCTCACCTGTTGGTCATAATCTTACATGTCAATTTGTGAGGTTTATTCCGAAATTTTATCTTTCTTGCGACAGTTTATTATTTGTTTATTGTTGTTTACCTCTCTTATTTGATTTTTTTTTGTATTCAATTAATTTGTACTTATCAATACAATAGTACATGTGCACTATATTTATTATGATTGGGGCTTTTACAATGGTGACATCAGAATATGGGTATTGTATTGTAGGGAAATAATGATGACATCATCCTGTCCTGCTGTTTACACTACTGTAAAGACAAAGCCAGAGAGTTCATGCCAAAGGAGAAAGGTAATCTCATCGGACCTTATATCAGCAAGGTTTCTGGAAGGAATTGAACACTTAAGGGGGCTCTCTACACCTATAAAGTATAACTGATTTTTGTTGCATGCATTTGTTTCTAATAATAGGCCCCATATCCAATAAAATAAGGTTCCAAAGTACTTCAATTTATTTTTTAGAAATATTTGAAATATTTTATTTATTTTGTTAAAATCCCTCCTATCTATATTTTTAAAGGCCCAGTGCTTTAAATTTCTCTTCAAAGTTTAGTGTTATAAAATATTGAAATAATAACTAACAAAGATAAAAATAAAATCAACATAATTTTTATTAGCTCACCTGAGCCGAAGGCTCAAGTGAGCTTTTCTGATCAAAATTTGTCCGTTGTCTGTCGTCGTTGTCGTCGTCGTCGTTGTCGTTGTTGTCGTCGTAAACTTTTCACATTTTCATCTTCTTCTCAAGAACCACTGGGCCAATTTCAACCAAACTTGGCACAAAGTATCCTTGGGTGAAGGGGATTCAAGTTTGTTCAAATGACGGGCCACGCCCTTTTCCAAGGGGAGATAATCATGAATTTGTTAAAAATTAATGGCATTTTTATAAAATCTTCTTCTCCAGAACCACTGGACCAGGAAAGATGAAACTCATGTGGAATCATCCTCAGGTAGTGTAGATTCAAGTTTGTACAAATCATGACCCCCGGGGCAAGGGTGGGGCCAAAATGGCCGACCCAAGTTTTACATAGGAATATATAGGAAAAATCTTTAAAAATCTTCTTCTCCAGAACCACTGGGCCAGGAAAGATGAAACTCATGTGGAATCATCCTCAGGTAGTGTAGATTCAATTTTGTTCAAATCATGACCCCCGGGGCAAGGGTGGGGCCAAAATGGCCGACCCAAGTTTTACATAGGAATATATAGGAAAAATCTTTAAAAATCTTCTTCTCCAGAACCACTGGGCCAGGAAAGATGAAACTCATGTGGAATCATCCTCAGGTAGTGTAGATTCAAGTTTGTTCAAATCATGACCCCCGGGGCAAGGGGTGGGGCTAAAATGGCCGACCCTAGTTTTACATAGGAATATATAGGAACAATCTTTAAAAATCTTCTTCTCCAGAACCACTGGGCCAGGAAAGATGAAACTCATGTGGAATCATCCTCAGGTAGTGTAGATTCAAGTTTGTTCAAATCATGACCCCCGGGGCAAGGATGGGGCCAAAATGGCCGACCCTAGTTTTACATAGGAATATATAAGAAAAATCTTTAAAAATCTTCTTCTCCAGAACCACTAGGACAGGAAAGGTGAAACTCATGTGGAATCATCCTCAGGTAGTGTAGATTCAAATTTGTTCAAATCATGACCCCTGGGGCAAGGGTGGGGCCAAAATCGCCGACCCAAGTTTTACATAGGAATATATAGGAAAAATCTTTAAAAATCTTATTCTCCAGAACCACTGGGCCAGGGAAGATGAAACTCATATGGAATCATCCTCAGGTTGTGTTGTTTCAAGATTGTTCAAATCATGACCCCCGGGGCAAGGGTGGGGCCAAAATGGCCGACCCAAGTTTTACATAGGAATATATAGGAAATATCTTTAAAAATCTTCTTCTCAATTACCACTGGGCCAGGAAAGATGAAACTCATGTAGAATCATCTTAAGGTAGAGCAGATTCAAGTTTGTTCAAATCATGACCCTCGGCCCTGGGGAAAGAGTGGGGCCAAAATGGCCGACCCAAGTATTACATAGGGATATATAGGGAAACATTTTAAAATCTTCTTTTCAAGTACTTCAAAGCTATGATTAGTGATACTAATATGGAATCATCCTCAGGTAGTGTAGATTCTAGTTTGTTCAAATGATGAACGCCTGGAAGGGGGGGGGGTAAATTCAAGCCCGATGTGCTCAGGTGAGCGCTGTGGCCCCTGGGCCTCTTGTTTAAATTTACAAAAATAGACAAAAGAAAAACTAAAACAGCATTTTCTTGAGAATAGCTGGTTGGATCCTCTTCAATATCTGAAAAGATATATAATATCAAAGGGTAAAAACAATGAAAAAAAGAAAATGAAAAAAATTGAAAAACTGTCAAAAATTTATAAACATCACAAAAATTCAGGTGTGAGAGATCCGCTTTAAGAGTGGACTCAAATATCTTGGTACTGTTGTTTTTAATATAAACTTCAAATAAACTCTACTTGCACAAGTATTAAACAAATGTCACGCAAGGACATTGAAAGAAGTTCGTATTGAACATGTATTTGTTTTCCAATGAGTTTAAGCGAAAATCATCGCGTTTCCAGTCAATGACAAAGACATGCATTTAGTGAATTCATGGCATTGAGAAAGGTAGATTTACTCACCGTTTTTATCCAACTTGCATGTGTTATCCAGTGCTGTATATAACAAAACAAGTTAAGATGGTAAATGGCCAAAAGAGATAAAAGAAATTCCTATAACCAAATGCACACTTCGTCTAAAACCTGCACATTTCCCATACTTGTAAACAGCTGAACAGCTGACAATCTTGATCAAACGTTTGGGTCATGCGAAATTTCACCGGGTATAACCATTCATTCGGGTGTATACAAATCGAGAACAGAGTATCCTCTAGTCGATGGGAAGATAATACATATGTCTTATCTTATCAAATTTGCATTTTGGGGGGATATATTTTGCTGAAAAGCATATATGCTTATTGGAGAAATAAATTTCTGAGTGTATGGTGTTTTGACACGTAATGATGAATTAGCATATGGACAAGCCATGTTTTATATCATTTGTTCTCATCTAAAAATCTTAATTTAATAAGTTTGTAAATGTATTATTTAACAATTAAATAAGTAGAAATTGAATAAATTGACAAACAGTTCATTTTTAAAGAAAGTATACGTATTGGGCAATGCACTGTATTAATTGATGTGATATAATGCACATTCCATCCACAATATCGCATGTTGTGTTATACTCAGTGATTTATCGGTGTTAAGTGAATTTGAATCTGATCATTTGGGATCAAAATGGCGTTTTTACGGAAGTACACCATGTTGTGACGTTGTAGAGAGCCCCCTTAACATTTTTCTAGCTTTAAACATATGTTTTAGTGTTTGATGTAAGTCATTCAATTTATATTTTAAGCACATGCACACAATGTATTATGTTTTTTGACACATTGCTTTGCAAAATTTTATGATGTTTCAGATGTTTGCCCTAAGTTTCTGTATTAACCCTTTGTGTGCTGACTTGTTTTGCGTGCGCTGTAACCTCAGGACTGAGTTGTTTTGTAATATCAACAAAATTATCACAATGGTGTACTAAAATGCAAATATCTAAAATTGTTGACAACCAATTTGCTTGAAATTTGGCAAATATGTAGCAAATGTTGCGTTTTTTAATCTATACTATTTTTAAAAAAAAATCTAATATCTTATGTTGCCGTGGAAACCAAATTTTCAAAAAAAATATTTTAAAATGAATTTTTAGCATTTTAACTATATTTTTCAGGGGAAATATTGCACTTTGATGAAAAAAAAAATAAATCAATTGCTTTAGAAATTCAATTTTAGTTTAATATTATGTAAAAAAAAAAATTAATTTAAACAATAACTCAATGATAAAGTCAATGTTATATATACCGTTATGTTGTAAAAAGTCATTGTATACTTATCTGAGTAAGGGATATATTCATGTAGGTTTAAGTGAATTCTGGATTTAAGTTAATGGATTTTTTTCAGATTTTAACTATATAGAAAGAGTATAAATTAAAGATTCAATTAGCCTGTAAATATAAAACCAGTGATTATTTTAAGAAATATTGGCAATCATATAAGAAAGTATGATCCTCAAAGAATATGCAGTTTTCGAGGTTGGGAAATCTTGGAGCAAATTGGCACAACAATGAACTAATTGCTGTTACTAGTATTCATTTTCAAATTAAAGCAGTCAATATGTTAAATAAATTAAAAAAAAAATAAAATAACATTAACACTAAGTTATAGAGGTCTTATTTTCTAATGACTGGTATCTAACAGCCCTAAATATACTCTAGTAATTCTCAGATCTTTTTTTTTTATTTTGCTTTTATTGAAGAAAATGCATTTCTCCGTGTTATTTGTAAAGTTAACATATTCATCAACTTTCCTCCCACAGTACTTCTCACTCTGTAAGAAATGTGGCTTTATTTTAGAAGTTTTATTCCTAGCTGGCAACAATAATTGCCAGCAGGAAAACTAGTATTTCAAATTTTAGAAATTTAAGCACCTTTAACAGTCAATTATAACGTTTTCAAAAATTACATCGTTCAATGTGGTCACTGGTGAATAACAGTTTTTATTTTTTTCAATTGATTTTAGTTAATGATGGTTGACAGATATGTACCGTAATATCAATCAATATATTATGAAACACTTTTAAGTTTATGCAAGTCTAATGGTATGGGTCATGGATATAGGCCAAGTAAGCTCAGTCAGTAGAGCATCTGACCAGTGATGCAGGGGCCCCTTCTTAGATTCATGGTCCAGCCCTGCATTTTCTCCTTCCTTGTTACAGATTTGATGCTATTGACCCCTCTGGATTTGCAAGTGAAAGTCCTGTCAGGGGCTAATAAGAATTTAGGCTGTGTCTGCAAGGATAAAGATAACTTTAAGGAGGGATATGTAATGGTTGTGCTATGGGTATCAACCTGGGTAGCTCATTCGGTAGAGCACCTGACTAGTGAAGCAGGGTTCCTGAGTTCAATTCCTGGTCCAACCATAGTTACCATACATTTTCTCCTTTCCTATTACACAAGTTTTGAATGTGCCTGAATTTTTACTTCTAAATTAAATATTATTCCTAATACTAGTAAAGAAATTTATATTTCATTTCCATGATGGGATTTCTTTGTATTCTTAGTAACTATTCACATTTTCATATTTAAAAATAAACATATCTTTGGAGACCAAAATGTAATCTTTGTTGATAAGTAATTGTACAGGAATTTGCATTTTTGAAAAAAAAATTTTGACCATCATAAAAAAAAATTATCACAGTCAATCTTAGCTTTTTTACTGTATTCATTCAGGCATATATGATTATCTCTTATATCAAATGTACCTATCTTACTGTTACATATCTAGAAGGGATGGAATGTAGAAGCTTCTTGGGCCTTATAAATTTGTAAACTAGAGGATATATTACATATTAACAGGTAAAAACATGTACAATGTGTACTTTTGAGTTTGAGAAGTACAATTCCTACAGTAAAACTCGGTTATAACGAAGTCACTGGGACCTATGAAATTACTTCACTATATCTGTAATTCGTTATAAAAGTATAAGAAATCAATTAATTTTTTTTAGCTGGGTATCCAAATTGACTTCGCTATATCCGTAAATTCGCAATATTTGTGTTCATACTAAATGAGTTTTGCTGTATTACCCAGTCTTTATTGTAATTTATTGAACAGATGTACATGCAAGTCCGTACAATTTACAAATTACTCATTCTAAAGACTCTGATCTCCTTCTTATGCCTACAAAAATGACAATTCATCTTAATTTTAGACTGTAGAGTTACCATATATTTAACCAGTGAATTTTATAATTTTATGTGTGCATGTATAGGTTGGGGCAGTCTCGCTGTTTTTGGTTTTTAATAAAATAGAAAAAAAAGTGGAGGAAATGTGCAATTTCATATGCTTTATTCTGGCAAAAGTCTATTTTAAAGAAAAAGAAAATGTCTCCCTGATACATGTTCTTAAACTTGGTTTAAAAAAAAATATACTGATACATGTAGTACCAATTATTTTCACTTACTAATTAGGTCCCATGCAAACTAGAGTATGTAAATGCCTTGAAGAAATCTAACTCTAAGATACCAAAGATCCCGGAACATATATTGGTTTTGAAATTAATAGAGTCTATATAATACTCGTCAAGGAAATAACAATGGTATTTTATTACTTACTGAAATAAAACAAAGACCACAGTTTACACAAATGACAGTCATTTCAGGGAAAATTAGAACTTCAAAATTTTTTCATCACTTTTTACCATTTTCATGTAGGCCTATATGCACATGATCAAATGCATCAATGCATCTTTTCTGATAACTAGCTTACATTTGAAGACACTTTATAGAAAATATCAAGTTTATTTTTAATTTTTAATTGTGCTAAAAAAATTTACAATATATCTGACATACACTGTTATAAAAAAACATTTGAAAGTTTTCCCAAATAGATGGAACATCAAGCAGCTTTAAACCAGAATTTTTAGGTGTAATTAGGGCCACTTAATTGACTCAATGATTGTCAATTATAAAATTCATATTGTGTATATTTCAAATACCTGTATCATGAATTAATTTTGCTTGATCACAAAAATATGTTAATGGATATATATTCTCTATATATCTTTTTTGCATTTACTTATTAATGCAATAACTCATTGGATAATTTTCTACAATGTTCAAGGTCCTTCACATTTATTACTTTTATTAGGTGGAACCTTTTTTATCTTTCAACATTTTTGAAATGGGTCTTTAGATTAAAAAAAAATGTTTACTTATATATTTGTTTATCATAAAAAAACAAATGCTTTTAATTAACAAGATGCTTCAAATTATTTTTTGCAAACCTTTATTTCAAAGCAAAGCTTGATTTACGTATGTAAACAACGTGCACAGCCACTGAGGAAAAGAAAAACGTCTGTGACTTGCCGGTTCAATCTCGCGCATTAATTTATTGTTTTCATTTAGACGATGTAATGTATGTCTACTTACAAAACACCATATAAACAAATAATTACCACCGTATGTCCAAAATATAAAACTTTGCCGACCATATAAGCTCTCGATATGCTTCAGACTCAAGTTCAGTAGCATGTGCACCCTACTTTCGTTTTAACAGCAAGAACTTCGCAAGGTTAAGGTCAAGTCAAGTTAACCAGAGTTTTTCTGCTAAAATATCGACAATTTCTAAGTAATTTTATGTCTACTAACACAAATTTATTAGAATTATTGATATTTAACTATTTTTTGGATTTATTTCTTTATTTTCCTTTATATTAGGGCAAGTTAGTAGATATTTATTACATGCGCGTTTTTTCCCTGTTTCCAAAAATAGCGGACTGACTTTCATCGTAACAAACGCCAAACACCTTCACTTTAAATCACAATTTCACAAATAATTCGCATATTTTCACATCTTAATTACCTATTTTTCAATGTTTTGTAGTTTTATGATACATATTGATAGATTCTTAATAACTCACAACTCATTTATACGTTTTATACTACGTTTTATGTGACGAAGCGCAAATTCCACACTCAGACCCAATATATTGGGTTCCCGCACGGTAGCGTTTGTGACGTCAGACCCAATATATTGGGTTCCCGCACACAAAGGGTTAATAGAAAATAGATCATTTCTCATGGCAGAGATGAGCATGAATATCTCGAGTCTGATTGTATCAAAATTAAAGTGGAGACTACAGTGTATCCATGATTTATAAAATAGTCATTGGAAAAGATGTTCATAAAATATTTTACTTGTATTTTGCTTTTTTTTGTTTAATATCTTTTGATACGAATAGTTGCATAGATATTTGACTAGCAAAGAATGCTTTAAAATAGTTTGGAGTAGCAATGTGCATTAAAATTGCCAGAATGATGATAATTGACTTTCATTTTCAGATGCCCCCGTGAGGTTGTACAGAGAAGTGGTGTTATTGACGGACGACAGAAATCTACGACTGAAGGCTCACACCTGTAACGTACCTGTCAAAGATGTCCTGTCGTTCCTCAAGTGGAGTAAGATCACCTGAACTGACCCGTGAGATGATGGCATCAGTTCTCCTAGGACCCGGGCCTCTGGAATGCCAGCCTAGTGTGTCAGCTAATGGCGCTTGGCTCATGTCCTTTATCTAGTGTGAACAATTTGTCTGTTTGGCTTGTGTTAATTATCACAATGGCCCGTACAAGATAACCAAATAATTTCAAGGATACTACTTGTAATACTGAATGGAAATTTCTACTTTTCCCAGCTTAACCCACACAGATTTCAGGAGTACGTCAGAAGAGTGGTGTTTTCTACTGTTGTGTAGATAAATTATCTTTAGCTCTAGTGAGTAATGGAGGAGATTTTTCCTTCGTGTATTTATAAACTGTGACTTTTTGAACTGATGGGACAGTGAGTGTTTGGACTGCATTGACAGTGAGTTTTATATTAACCTTTTTAACCCTGATAATTGTGAAATTTGTGATATTGTCAATACATGTTGCACTTGTTCTGCAACATTCATTGACATTTATGGAGTTTCTCAAAGTTCTTAATTCTGAGAGGAGGAAAAATTCATGATCTGGGAATCACCAAAGAAAGAAGTAAATGTTTGAAAAAACAGTTCTGGTGTGAAATATTATTATGGCAGTTACAGAATGACAACTTAGGATAATATTCTAATGAAAGAAGCAGCAGCTTTAAACCTTTTTACTGTTTTATGGAGTTATACAGCTTTAAATGGTAGAATTCTTTTCCTGAACCCCCAAGCAAACTTGTGAAGACTTTTAGTTATACATGTAGTTTCTTGTTAGAGAAGTTGTAAATGTATAATTTGAAAACATATACCTATGTTTGTACAACATGAACAAGCTTTAGAACCTGCTTGTTAGTCAAGATCAAAGACCTGAACACAGTTATGTACACATATACGTATCACGATAGGATTTTTTTTTTACTGTATATTGAAAAGCAAAGATTCCCCCTCCAAAATCATAATAATTTGGCCGGAATATAAATTGGCAGTAAGTGTATTCATTTGTTTGTAAATGTCCTTTGTAAAGAAAAAAAAAACAAAACAAGTGAACTTGTAAAAAAAAAAAAAAAAAAGAATTTAAGGTTTGAATAGATTTGGTTTGTTTGAATTAAGATTGATTTTAAATTTTAATCAATTTACTAGTATAGGCAAGAAACTAAGGTTTGAAAGAGGGGTGGGGGGTTACAATGCTTAGGGCTGGTCAATGAAATGTACTGGAGTTTTATTATATACCAGTATACTAGTATCACTGCTCTGTATTGTGAAATTAATAAAATAATTTCAGTGTTTACTGTTTGAAAAAGGTTCAGTAGAAATGACATCTCTATAAATCTGTGACTACAGTGTACATTGAGTTAACATTAAGAGGTTTTTGACATGTTTAGGGGTTACTATTTTAATACTTTTAGTCTCTATTAACATGATTAATTTGTTATTGTGGGGTGTTACACTTACTTACACTTTTATCATTATTTTATTTAGAGGTTACTGTTGTTATTCATTTGCCTGTGTTGTTTTATGAACCTATAATGAGAGACTTAAGGATTGGTGGTCCCCTGCTTACACCAGGGAGTGAAATCTATGGGAATAGAAAGCATCTCCTCATAAAAGATTTAAATACTTTAAATCACTTTCGATTCGAGAGGATGTTATTTTTGTGTAATTATGCAATATGGTCTGCTCGGGAAAATTTTATTCTTACATATATTTTTATAAGCAATGGATATATTCAGTGATTCCTGACAATTTAAACACACTTACCTGGTATATTTACCTATCTCTAATAAAAATGAGATGTCATGGAAATTAAGTGATCTACAGCATGTACAGTAGCTATCAGAATTTATTTGTTTAATAGCCTTCACTTCTCACCGTGGTTATAGTACAGCTATAAAATGTTGTACAAGATGTACAAACTTTGGGATGTTTGTCAATTCTTTGCTTGTTGTCTAATTTTTGTTTCTACTCTTATCAATTTCAGATACTCTCATGTCCATTCAATTCAAGAAATAAAAATGTTTCAATTTTGAATTCATCTTCTCCAAGTTCTATTGAAAAGATATACATATATTACTCATATACAAAAATGCTCACTAGATGGGAAATTAATCTTATTTTTAAAGGACACATTGAATTTCAGAAATATTTTATTTCCCTTCTCTCTCTGTTTTGAGCAGTTTAAAATGTTAAATTCAATATCATAATAAGTTTTCAAGTCAATATAACAGGGTAGTGTTTAGATTAATTTTTTTGCAAATTGCATGATTTATTAATATGGAGTGATGGTTAAATTTCATTGTGTATTTAACACTTATTTGTTGACATTTTTTACATTTATACTTTATCTTTTTTCTGTATATCTATGAAATGTCAAGTGCTCCTGACCTTTGTATTGTGTCAGCAAAATTCCTGTACCATTTTACTGATGGATCATTATGTATAATCATTATAAATAAATCAGGTATATTCATTTACTGTGTCTTTTTTCATACAACTGTTCTTTTTTAAAAAGAGAATTGTGCTTAAAGATATTGCATGATTTTGAAGCTTAAACAACTCAATTTTAGACCTTCAAAATGTAGTGTTAACTGTGAACATAACTAGCATGAGGTACTTTTGGTGTTGATTTACTTTTAAACTATAACGTCAATTTCCTTGTGTGGAATACAGGTAATTGTGGATAGTCCCCCCTCTGCACCACAAATGGCTTAAGAGTCGTGACAGCTGATGTAAAAGTGGTGGTATTTATTATTACAGTGAAAATGCATTATTTCTGGAAATCATTCTGTTCTGCTCCTGCATATTAAGCAATTAATCTAACTGAATATTTATGACAAGCAAGGATGCTTGCTCCAAATTTTTAAATTTCATGGCCGTTGGGTCAGTTGTTTGTGTGTTTGAGTGAAAATGCATTTATTCTTTGAAAATCTTCCTCTCTGCTCCTGGGAATAAGGCAAACAAAGAAAGGCTCATTTCTTAAAGCCCTCTGTTTAGGGGTTAAGTTTGTAGGACAGGGCCCTATTGTTGATTATCGTAAAATACGCGGATAAGGAGGTGCCGAGGTGGGAGATTCATCATATCTGTAGGTTTACAATATATTCCGCTTCACTTATACACATATGATAAATATTCAGTGTAAATATTGTAATTAAAGGTTGGAACTGGAAAAAGAATTATTCAAAAAAAAATTAGTTATATAAAAAAGAAAACGTATTTTATTCATAGTTTTAATGGTCAGGTGGAGTTGTCAACAATAAATTAAAAGACAAAATTGCCTTATCCTCATACATTAAATGTTCTTCAAAGAACAAGAGGCCAATGGGAGAGGGAATGAAATTGGATTTCTGTTGTTGTCTCCTCAGAATGGCGATAAAGACAAAAGGGGTTAAATACGGACAAGCAAAGAGATCCACTTTGGGCACTGACTAAATAATTTGATGGTCATCATACTACCCTTGCATTTGGTAAACATACTATCATTTATCAGTTAATTTGTTTTGTTTTACACTTCTTGGATCTTTTACGTTGAACTCCGACTAACTTGGGAGTTGGATTCTGTGAAAGTAAAATCCTGTGTACAACCACCTTTGCTATGGAATAAACGGTGAACAGATCGTCAAAACAAGCGCCTGTTTTACATACTAATTTATGTTTTTGAATCTATCTGGTCTGCTAACTGCTCTCTCTTTAGTTCTAGTTTATTGCAGGACTAAGAATCAAACAAGTCAGAGTAAGTATCTCTGTCTAGTTTCACTAACTCAATCTTCCCATCACGCCCTGCTAAGAGGAGACGTGACGAGGTCACGTGATAGGACATCCAACCCACATCCGCCAGTCCTGTCTCTCCGATCTTCCCAATCAACTTTCCCAAAGTATTCAACTGATATATCTCGCCATTACTCAGGAGGACCAGGAACTTGTTTTCAACTTCCACAATCCATGTCACAGGATGCTTGAATTTCCTCTCCCACATCAGCTCTTTTTTCCACGAAATACACAGAAGTTTTCTCTGGTTGAAGTCCGGAAACAGGAATTTGTTTCCAAGTTTGTTTTCAAGGAAGCATGAAACGACACTA